TACTATCATGGACCTCTGAACTCTTTTAGAATATTTTGCTGAGTTTACACACCTATAATATTCAAATAACAGAACTTTAAAAAAAAAGGGTATACAGATGAATGTCCATTTTGTATCTGTGTATTCAAAGTGGTTAGGATAGATATATAGTTACATTCTCTTCAGAGTGATTTGTTCTAATGGTGTTTGTAAATAGGATATCATGTCCGCATCTTGTACAGCAATCAACCACTAGGAAGAATACATGCAATGTGTTAATTATTGAAACTGTCCTACCAATTTGATTTGATGAGAAAATTGCTATTTGTTTATCAATAAAATTATGGGAAAAAAGTCATGTCCAGTTCCCCCAGTAGTCATGTCCAGCTCCCCCAGTAGCATTAGGGGACAGGCTCAAAAATTGTGTTGATTTTTCTGGATAAAGTGACATTTGCCAAGTATCTGTTCTCTCACTGACAGTCCTGATTCATACCTCTTGTCTTGGGTGTCTAATTTAGTTTAATTTTCCTGAAAATGAGTCAAGTTGGTTGTCCTTTCTGGCAGAGTAGTATGTACTCCACGGCATATAAGTATCACATCTTTATCATTCATTGGTTGATGGACACATAGGCAACTTCCAAGATTTAGCTATTATGAATTATGCTACTATAAATACAGGTATCCAGGTACCACTGCAATATATAATGTCTTTAATTCCTTTGAGGAAGATACCTGGAAGGGAAATACCTGGGTTAAGTGAATTTCTAGTTTTAATTTTTTGAGGAGTATCCATACTGATTTCCATAGTGCTTACATGCATTTACATGCCCACCAAAAATGTAGAAGGGTTCCTTTTTGTCAACAGCCTGTCTGGCATTTGTCGAGCATTTGATTTCTTGATAATAACCATTCTTTTCAGAGTAAGAAGTTATCTCAGTATTCTTTTAATCTATTGGCCACTGATGTTGAATAATTAAAAATGTATTTATTAACCATTCATACTTTTCTGAAAAGTGTCTGTCAATTTTAGTTATCCAGTTTTGATTGAGAATTTATTTGGGGGAATCGAATAATTGAGTACATTGTATGGTCTAGATATTAGTTCACTGTCTAAGGAAAAGATGGCATTTTTTTTCCATTCTTCAGGGTTTTCCTTCATTCTCTTGTCTTCTTGGCTGTGCAGATTTTTAATCTGATATGGTCTCAACGATGCTCAGTACTATTTCTTGTGGGCAAGTTTTTAAACTGAGATTATTTTATTTTAAAGGAATAAAAAAAAAATAAAAACAACACAGAATTTCCAAACAAGATGATAGGAAACAATGGTTATTATATTGAATACTGTTATCTGCAAAGTACTTGCTCAGATTACCAGATAAAGGTGTGTAAAGTTGATCAAACAATATAAGCACTAAGTGTTTCTTTAAATGAACTAGTAGAAATAAGTAGTCCAATTATCTTTTCTCCTTTCCCCCATCCCATTTGCTCTTTCTTTTTGGGCAGTTCTTTTTCCTTCTGTAGTGTCTATTGTAACTTTTGGATCTTATTTACCCTTTTGGTTTCTCATACTAGGGAGACAATAGGGAAAAAGGATCATTTCTCCACTGTTGGTGGGAGTATAGATTTATAAAATCACTATGGAAATCAGTGTGGAGATTCCACAAAAACCTAGGGTTGTGGGTCTGCAGAGATAGCTCAGGAGTCTAAGCACCTGCCTGGCAAGTGCAAGGATCTGAGTTTGATCCCGGGTACCATATGCTGTGCCTGCCCTGGAATGCTGGGTGTGCTGTGCTGGCCATCAAACCTGGGTGTGGTGGCATGTGTTTGTAATCCAAGTGCTGGGGAGGCTGAGACAAGAGGATCATTAGAAGTCTGAGCTGCATAGAGAGACCTATATCAAATAGATAAATAATTTTATTTATTATTATTTTTTAATAAATAATTTTTAAAAACCTAGGGTTAGAGGTCACATTTGATCTAGCTATTCTCCTGCTGTTTTTTTTTCAGAAGATCTGAAAACATCATACCACAGGGATACATGTAAACCCATGTTTATAACAACACAAATTGTAATAGCTACATCTTAGAGACAACCCAGATGACCAGCACCCGAGGAATGGATAAAAAAGCTGTAGTATTTTTATACAATGGAGTATTGTTACTTAGCTATAAAGAAGGATAAATCTGAGGCTTTTATAAGTAAGTGGATGCAACTAGAGATCACACACATAAGTGAAACGAACCAGATTCACATCTCAGAAATGCTTTGAAGTCCAAACTTACACACTTGTTTTTTGGGTAATATCCACATTGATTCTCAGATGAATCCAAGTTGGAAACACACACTACCTTACCTTTGAGAGAATTTTTTTTTTATGTAGGAAATTAAAGTGCAGCTCAACATTTTCCTAACTTCCATGTGCCACATGATGTCAACAAAGTGTTCTGCAAAATACTTTATTATAAACCACTATTTAATGGTACTTTTAGGAAAGACAGTTAAATAGTGTTCTTTGCAGTAAGATTTTTTGAAGTCTTTTGTTCTTTAGGAGAAAATATAATTACTTCAGTGAGCACTAGATGGCAGAACTTGCACCCAGGAGGGGTGACAATGAGTAGTGTGTGTGTGTGTGTGTGTGTGTGTGTGTGTGTGTACCCGTGTTTGCATCGATGCTTGTATCTGTATGTGCTATAAACCAATATTTTATAGAATCATTTGGTTATTCTGCTAAACTCAGTAATCCACGAAAAGGACATCGACTATTATTTTCTCAGCTAAAAAAAAGGAGAATTTATAGCTGCTTCAAAACTGGCTCCACTGCTATTGACCTGTCTTTCTTTTCTGTTGTTTGAAGAACTCAGGATCTTGATGACATGGTCAAGGAGACAGCGTCCCTTCAAGAAACTGACAAGGGGTGAGATCTCAGAGCTTGTGAGCTCGATTTTTCCTTTTCTGTGTGCTTTGAAAATGCCTACCTGATTCTTCTAAGGGTCCCAAATATGAAAAAATCCATAATGTTATTTATTACCTATAATTCAGAAAGAGAAAACATCATTGTCTATGCATAAGTACCTTTGAATAATAGATGGCACTGACGTTTATGGTCGTTCTTTCTCTCCTTTCCTCCTGGTGATTTTGCTTATCCGGAGACCTCAGCTGTCTAATGCCTTTCCAGATCTCAGTCCTGCTCTGTGCTGCTGGCTCAGTCCTCACCTTACCTGTCTCATGGAAACCCTTTCAGGATGTCTTAGGCCACATTCCACTTCCTCCCCGCAGAGGGCGCTATTTCCAGACTCCCAGGCTCACCATTCTGGGATCATGCTTGATCCTACTGTGTTGCACATATAAACTACAAGTCTAAGATGTCTCTCATGCACAAATCGCCCACTCCAATCCAAATCCTGCTTGATTCCTATGTAGGTGGTTACAGTAGCCCTTCAGATTTTCTTACATCCTTTCAGCCTTTCTTTCCTCTGAGTTATTTCTATCCAAAAATGTTACAGCTTTTTTTTTCTGTAAATTTCTGTTCCAAAATCACTCCCTGGTTCCCTATTGCCCACTACATGTAATCTCATTCAGTCCCTTTGCTAATCTGGCTCCAGCCTAATGTCCTGGCTATTTCTCACCACATGCATATATTTATTTCTATACTAACAGCCTGCTTAGCTTACTTTTTTTCTATGGTTACCAGACCTTTTGCTCTCATTTTTGCTATTCCCTCCCCATGACAACCTCTTCCAGCCTCAAGGCTGCTCTCAGTCCATCCAGGTCCTACATCTTTCAGAACTCAATCAAATATCATCTCCTCTGTGGCGTCTTCCCTGAGTGGTCCAGTGAAATGTGAATTTTTGCCTGCCTAAGCGATTCAAGCCTCACTATTTATATTTTACAATGCCTAATCATGTCTGGTTTTGTTTCACGCTGCTTATGTAAATGTGTCATTTTCCCTTCTTCATAACTTCCAGGGCAGATATTTATTCTTATTCACCAGATGTCATCTGCAGTGTTTGACATGCTGCCTTGTCTAAAGGAGGCATATATGTTGCAGATTAGGGTAAAATCATAATGAACAGTGAGAAAACCTTGAAGATAAATACTGCGTGGTTTAAATCCGAAACCAGCAATTTTTTTCCCTGTTTAATGCAATTTGGTAATGAAAAGATTGTTATTAGGAATTGTTGTCTTGGTCAAAAGAGTAGAAAAGAAGAAACAAAGGCATGCTTGGCGCTTCTGTGCAAATCCACAAGGCAGTAGGAGCTCTGCATGCAGGAGAATAGAAGATCTTCCTAATGGTTCATTTTCGCCTCTCTCTCCTTTTGGCTCCCAGATCTCTTTATGTCTTGTGTTTGAGGTAATATTTTGTTTTCAGCAGTGACTGAGCAACTTTTTGTTGGATGATTAGAATGTTGGAGGGAGAGATGAGGGATGCTTAAGAGATTGTTTGCTTAAACCAAAAACAATACAACTGCAGTTGGCTTGACTTCCCTCTGCCCCCACTCAGTGCCACCAGGCAGCAATTTCACAACCACATATGTTCACCACAGGGAGAAGTTACTGCTTTTATATGGCCCAGGGATAATGTCCTACAGCCCATCCCCCGGGAATGGGGAAAGGCTTTATTTATCCAAATTGCTCTTTGTGGAATAGAATGCGACTGACAATCTGATTAAGAGCATTTAATGTGTTGCAAATGATGGTGGAACTTAATATCCAAGCTTCTTATCAATTTACAGCCATTTTGAAAGCCCAAGTTCTGTATTTAGAATACAATCTCCGTTTTACTTATCCTGCCACAGAGTGTGTTCCCATGGCTTATACTAATTTTCTGGTGACCAACATAAACAATCCCCGATCCTGGAGACTTTGTGATTGTGACTCGCACCAGTCCGAAAGGTTTGGGGCTAAACTTTACAGAACGCTTAGGTTGTTCTTTCTCTCTGGGGCCAAGCAGATTTTCAGCCTCAGAGTTAGCATGTAGAACTTCAAACAAGAAACAACAATAGATCACCAGGTCAGGGTGCTGCGTAGAGTTTGTCCTACACAAATATTGAGCATTGATCAATTTTTAGTTTTGAGCTACAAGTAGCAAGTTTGTATTTCAGTATTTATTCTCAACCAATTTATTCTCAATCCCACAACTGAGTACATAAGATTACTTAAGAGGTTAGATGGCTGTTTGCCTATTTCTTGGTTCTCTCAGGAGACTGCCTAGGACAGCTATTCTGATGACAATGCTATGTTGCATATAAGTGATTCGGCCACCCTAAGTTGCTAAGAATAATGTAACATTTTAATATCTCTAAATTCAGTTAAAAATCAAACAATATAGCAAGTATTTATTAAAAACATTCACTATTTACAGGCTATTATTATTGTAATGGCCAAAATTAATGAGAATTCATGATTCCATAGGAATCATGCTGAGAGCCATTTGTTCATTCACTTATCAATTCTCTTCTGAGATGAGTGTGATTAGTACTCCCATTTTTACAGATGGAAAATTTGAAACTCACCTAAGGTCACTAATGAATAAATGGTGCATCCAGGATGGGATTGAAGGTGCTCCCTGATTCAGGATCCTCAGTGTGTCCCACTGAGTGTCTGGGTCTCACAACCTTCTGGTCAAACATCACTCAGAAAAAAAAGGGATCTAGAGAAATGTTGGACAGTGTGTAATTATAGAGCAGGAAGAAGAGAGAACCAAGATTTGTGAATGAAAAGTCTAAGTGAGACAGCAAGAGGAATGATGTGGGGGTGAGCGGAAGGCAGGGGAGGGTTGGGAGAAGACACGGGGGAGGGATGGACAGAAACAACTGAGAGTGAGCTCAGGGAACACTGCCTGCCTGGCTGCTTGCCTGGGTGGGAGCAGAGCCCACGTGTCTAAGGGAAATCTCTGAATCCAGATGCTTAGCTTATGTAGGTTGCTCCAGAAAAAGCAACCAGAAAGGGCTCTGAAGTTCTCGAATACGGAAACAGCCTAGCACGTTTAGCTGCTCTGGAATGAGGCAGTAGCAGAACTCAAGAATCCTGACTTGGAGATGAGCAAGCACATTTGAGAAGCTGCCTTATGTGCCAGGACTTTGTGCAAAGACGTGAGCAGTTATTAGTCAATATGTCTGTTTTTTAATCTGAATTGAAATACGATTAAGTGCCTACTTCAAGACTTTGTGTGAAAGACTGAAGAAGATGCAATGTAATACATGATTCAAAATTGTGGCAGGAGCAGGAATGTGATGCATGTGAGCAAGTGTTACATGAAAAAGGGTAGTGACTGGAAGGCCATAATGGATACGCACGACACCTGAAATCCTGCAAGAGTTCCACCGAAGTTCATTTGGAGCTGTAGGCAAGACTGCTTAGAAGGGAGACTGGCATTGAAGAACAGCCTTGAAGGATAGACAGGGCTCTGGTGGCACCTCTGTTATCCTCAGATAACTCAGAATTATTTTAAGTCATCTGCCCTTTGACTCTGGGTAGACTTTTAGTAATTTTTTTTTCCTCTTTCCAAAGTAAAGAATTGGATAATATCATCAAAATGAACAAAAGCTTAAGCAGGTAAAATTTTAAGTTTTTTTCTGTTGTCATTTTCTTACTGAATTGTACATTGTGATTTCTATTATCTTTCCCACCTTTGAGTATGAGAACCACATACCAGACTGGTCAAAAGTATCTTATTCATCTCAGCTTAAACGCTTGCAGAAATGATTACTTCATTGCTATTGTGAATGGTTATTAAAGTATGAAGATATCAATATTAAAGTGTGATTTTCAGACTCAATTATTTTACTAAAGTAATCATATGTATAACCACAGTTTTATTCCTGAAATATTAATGCATTCATAATATAGTTTGGTTTGATTACTGAATACTATTAGTTTGGCTATTCAAAATCCACTAATGTCTTAGTTAACATTCTCTCTTTATTTCGAACGATTCATAATTGTATAACTTAAAATATAGTAGGAAAGAAAAACAAATAATAGAGGCAGAAAAGGCATGTATAATTTCAGTTTTCTCTGCTACTAAGCATGGCAACCAGCCTTAGTATACATGCTGGTTAGCACTAAGTGTGCTAACAGAATAAACTGCAGGAACTAAAAGAAAAAGAAAAAAAAAGAAAATGTCATGTGATCTAATTGAAAATCATGACATACATTTTTCATATCTTGTTCTGATACTGATGCTCTGGAGGACTATTGACAAAGCATTGAAATGTGCTGCTTTCAGTTATCTTACTTACAAAGAGAGGATGTTTGAAATCAGGAGTCACAGAAGGCAGATGAGCAGTGGAGGCGGCTGACTGTAGGAGACACAGGTAGAGGTGAGAAGCCCTGTTCTGTAAGAAGTGCCTGGCTGCCTTCTGAGCTGCCGCTCAGGGTTCCCACATAGGAATTTGGGTCTCTGCTGCAGACAGCTCAAAAGCTTACAACCCTGGCCATGTGGCCTGCCATCTCTGTAAGCACTGACTCACATTCAAAATGCAAACACACATCAAACACCACATGTCTGTGGACCTGTGGCGCCTTGCAGATTCCCAGTTTAGGTCTTTCGTTTTGTTGCTTTAACATCTACAATTTAAATTTTGAGTCTTTGCTTGTAATCAAGCAGTTTCAAGAATCGAGACTCATCTTTCTCACCAGGTTTCATTTCCTATTTTAGATGTAAACTGATCTGTTTTTATAGATTTGAGTATCTATTATTATTACTGATGAGATTTTTAATGCATGTATTTAAAGAAATCAAGGTCTTGATGGTCTCTTCAGAACAAAGTGGAAGGCAGAGCAAATAGACAAAAGGTAAGTGCATCTATCTCTAATCTGCAAGTCCGGTCTCCCTGATTGTTGTTTTCTTCCTTCAGGCAGTAGCTGAAAGGGAGAGGCATCCTCTGGCATGGGAATTAATTAGCAGATGGGCTAACACTCTGCACACTGAACATTTAGTTCAGACACCATTGCCCAGGAGGATTTCTGCTCTTTCATTCAATGAGAGTAAATGAGCAATTCATGAAGAATGTTTATTGTATCTGACCTTGCAAGATAGTACACAATTTCATTACAATATTCAGAGTTTTATTGGAAATTTTCTGTGTTTATAGAGCCAAAAGTCTTGAAAGTCTCATCTATATGAATACCCAGATGGACAGAGATGGCAAAGGGTAAGTTTCAATCAAACCCAAGACAGGCCACTTCTGTTGAGTCCTAAATCGTTTACTGTGTTCTGGGGGAAACCGCTTGCTTAGGGCAAGTCAGGCAGGTTGAGGGAGGGGGTGCGGGGTCAGGGCCCAGGGACAATAGGTGTCTGGATGGTGTTTTTGCCATAGCATTCATCTGGGTACCCCTGCTACTGGCTTAGCCTTTGTGGACCTTTGTTTCTTCACCTTCTAAAATGATGTCTAGTTAGATGATCTCTAAGTTCCTTTTGTATTTAAAGCAGAAAGAAATCCATGCCAGCTGTTATAAGTATTGGACAATAGTCCTGTTTATGTTTATGAAGAATCTTTACCATAAGATTGTACTATTTTTTATGTTGTACCATAAAATGGATTAATTAATAATGGATTAATGATGAATAACTGAATTAGCATGTGAGACACTAATTTATAGGTGTTGAGTAACCCTAACACAGTAGAAAACTGAATTTATTACTGTAGTATTAGTTTTTGTATTGAAAGAAATCACACTCTTGACAGCTTCATTAAAGAAAATCCACAATAGTCACGAATGATGAGTGGTAAAGATGTATAAGATTTCTGACATTGTTCCCCATAGATTGACTGCTTGCTTTGTATTTGTTTAGTCATTAAATTTGCCTACCTAAAGTGATAATTACTTCTACTGTCACAGTTATTTTAGAAAACGATTTATCCAGGCCAATCTGTGCACAGAATGGTACCCTAGCTTTCCAAGTCAATCTTGCCAGATATTTTCTCAACTCTTTCTTTTATGGAACATTTATCAAAGTCTAAGATGAAGAGTCGTGGCAACAACAGTTACACAGATACAGGACGCTGATTATAAATACATTACTATGTATAAACATGATGACTGGGAGATGGCTCAGTGGAATAAGCACTTCCCTGGCAAGCGCAAGGGCCTGAGTTCAATCCCTGGTTCCGCCAAAAAAATAAAAAAATAAAAAAATAAACATGATGACATATTACAAGTGTTCTTATTTTTTTCAAATGGAACCTAGATGAAGGTGGAAAACAGTCAGTTTTCTTCAAGTATGTATATGATTTCACAGGAAAAGATGAGGCTTTAAGTATTTAAATCATGGAGCTGGAGAGCTCCACAAAAGTGGTGATGCATACGAGAAGTACTATGAGCATAACAAATACATAATTTGGGGGCTATGAGACAGAAGAGAAAGGTGATTTGTAATCTGGAATAGCAACTGGACTGTGTGTGTGTGTGTGTGTGTGTGTGTGTGTAGACTGAATTCAGGACCTTAACACTGAGCTATATGATCAATACATTCCACTTTTTTTTTTTTTTTCAAACAGAGTCTTGCTAGCTCAAAATTACAATCCCCGTGCTTCAGTTTCCAAGAATCATGGCTATATACACCTATACCAAAAAGCTCAGATTTCTCCTTGAACATTTTAGGAGAAATGTCTAAATTATCAATGAGGGGCTGGCGAGACGACTCAGAGGCCTAAAGCCCCTGCGTAAGCAAGCTTAGGCAAAGCTCAGGGACCACAGTTTGATCCCCCAGCACCACAAACCAGCCAGCCCTGCTCCCAGGGTGGGCTGAGCCAGCCACAAAAATAAATAAATAAATAAATAAATAAATAAATAAATAAATAAATGATCAATGAATTTAGATTCAAGAGATGATCAGTGGATTTTCACCAAGAACTCAAATAATTTTCATGCTTAAATAAGGCAACCTTTCAATGTATATATTAAAGACCACACCCCTGCCCCCCCAAAAATATCTGCCATCAGAAAAGCAAAAGCTAAGACCCATGGGGAACTTTTTCTTTAAAGTGATTCAATCATAACTGAGTAATGGCTGGAATCTTGGTATCAAGATGTCTCTTGGGTATTTTGCACAATGAATTGAATGTTGGTACAACCACTTGAATACTTCTAAGAACACCTAATCCTTTACACAGACTACATCTTACTGCTATTGTGTGAACAAGCTGCTGTTACTATAAGAGATTTGGAGGACAGCACTGAGATGTTTTTCATTTCATTCTTTCTCTTGCTCTATTTTCTTTTTTTCCAATATTATAAAGAAACCAAAGCCTTGGAAATTTTAACAGAGTTAATCAAAGGACTGACAAAAGTGAAAAAGGGTAAGTGCCACTCCTACCTACCTCGCTGGAGCTCTTCTTTCAAATTATCTTTTAATGCCTCATTGGAAACAAGAGCATCATGCTTTCCTCCTGGCCTGCTCAGACCCAGCAAATATACTGAATACTCTGTTTATGGGAGTTGCATATTGACAAGATGCAAGATATTGATATGATAAGTAGTGTATCCTTTGTGAAGTAGGTGCAGAAAACTTTCTATATCATTTCTAATCTAGGCTTTGTTAAGTAGTTAAAAACGAGTCAAGTTTTTATATAAATTAAAAAAATAAAATGTCAAGATTGCAAAGAGGAGCTGGGAAGTTTGCCTAAATTGCATTAGAATAGGATAAATGAGGTACTGCTGTCTAGTTGAGGGTAACAACATTACAAGTCTTTTTGGTCTTAAAAAAACACCTGACATCATGTGTAGACACATTCTTCTTTACACAAAATTGCCATAACCAATGACAATGAATTTGCTTTTTTCCCCAAAGAAGCCGAGACCTTGAATCTATCATGAAAGTGAATATCAAGACAGAGGAAACCAAAAGAGGGTGAGAAGTGTGTGGATGTCTCTAAATGTTGGTTATCTTCTCCCAGATGAATTGGTCATCTGCTCAGTGACACTGATGCTGTCACATCTTTGGGTTTATCTTATTTCTTCTAGTCTCATCACTGATGCTCTGATCTTTACTTTGTGGGGTCTATATTACACTCTAGTTAAATTCACTTTTATATAAAGCCAGATAAAAACTGGAGATTTAATAATTATATTATTGTTAAGAAATTTTATATTAAAAATCAATTTAATATTATTATAATTTTCCTTGAAAGACTGGTTAATAAACAATAATAAGGAATGTGCAGTGTGTAGTATTTTGAAACATCTAAACTTTTTTCTAAAGAGGTAAAGACCTTGATAAAACTGGCAAAGTCAATTTCAAAAGAAATAAAAATTCCATTGAGTGAGGCTTATCGATATCTTTCATTCTAATTTATACGAGAGATGATCAATTAGAGGACAAAATGATTCAGCTTTTTAGCTTCATAATCATATTTTATTGGCATGAAATAGGACAGTAAAGATGGACTAGCCCTTCTTGCCCCCTGGAAAGCCACTTATTTTGAAGAAGTGTTCCAATGTTTGCTTGTAGGCCACTTTCTGGGACCCCTTCTTTCAGGGACCTCAGGTGCAGTGTCATCGGGTTGGTTGCCACGGCTGCCACATCAGTGCAGCAGTGAACAGAAGACAACAGTGGTGATGACTTGTCACTTCCAGTGTGGCTCTTGCAGCGCCCTTTCACCTTTTTTTTTTTTTTTACCAGCCTATACCTGTTACACTCCATGCATTTTATGATGTAGAATGTGCCCCCAACAAGTGCATCATTAATTTCTTTACTCTTAAAGATACTTTTTTCTTGCCTTTTGTTTCTTACCATAATTTTTGTTTTGTACCAGGAATCGAACTCAAGGCCTTGTGCTTCCCAGGCAGGCACTGTGCTGCTAAGCTATATTTCTGACCTGTTGCTTACCATAATTGAATCTGAAACAAATGATATTTAAAAAGGATTTGTCTAGGGTAGGGGATAGTTGTGAAGGCATGTTTTCTTAACTGTCATTATCTCTAACACCATTATACTATTGTTTTTGACATTTTAATGATCATTTAATATTGGCATAGGCAATTATATCTTATTTATTGAGTAAAAATTTATATTTCCTCTGGACCCAGTATGCAACTCTGTTTAGCTTACATTACTTCAGTGTTCCTGCTTGAGGTATTGTAACAAGATACAACTGAGGACCAAGTTGTTCAGTGACAACCTTTGTCTATCTTTATGCATTGAGAGCACAAAAGTAAGTTTCTTGTTAACAAGTACTTAGTCTTTAATGGTGCTCTGCCGAAGACATAAGGGAAGAATTTTCTTCTGTATTTAGAGATTTAAAGATTTACACAGAAAGCTTCTATATTTACCCCTTCTTAATTTTCCAACTATTATTCATTTTATTAGTGTCTTACTTTAACAGCATTCATTAACACTAATTTCTTTATTCAAAGAAAACAAGATTTTGATGGGTTTATTAAAGTGAATCCTGAAACCAATAAAAGCATCAAAAGGTAATATATTTAAAACTGTCTTCTCCCTTTTGTATGGCATTTATGAGCACGTTAGAATTCTCAGTTCCTGGTTCAGACACAGAAGTGTCAGAACAAAACTAACCGACTTTCCTCTCCAAACACATTATATTAAGCAACTCTATCCATATGATGCACAGACATCTCTTGTAGTCTATTTTTGAGCGGTTTGCTCTGTAATGATTTTGAGAAATTAAATGGGAATTTTGACTGGTCTTATCTACTGAGCTCAATCACTTGTTTTTTATGCACATGTGTATAAGTGCATGTGTGTATCACCAGTATGGGAAGTGTATGTGTATGTATAAGTATTATCTGTATAACTGTGCATTTAAGCATATGTCTAAGTAATGTTTATGCATATAAATGTGTAGGTACGTATCAATAGCTTGCATGCAAAAATGTGTATGTGTTTATATGTTTGTGCACTATAAGTAGTGCATCTGCACATCTATGAACTGTTTGGTGTATTTATATGTGTAGTAATGTGTGTGTGTGTGTGTGTGTGTGTGTGTGTGTGTGTGCAGTGTGGTGTGTATTTAAGGATGATGTGATTAACAAAGTGGGCTCAATTAGAAGAATATCTTACCCACGAATGGTCAAGTGAGTCTGGAGAGCTTATGTCCTTTTGCTTTTTAATTTTTACAAAGCAGATGGAATATTTTGAAACTGATCTTAATGACATGTTGCTGAAAACAGTGTACCAAGCAGCTCCATGTGGTTTATCCTGAGCTCATCTTCATTCAGTTAACTGGGTACATGATATTATTTGTTGACTGTACTGAGCATTGCTAATGACTGCAGGCCCTGTTGGCAGAGTAAGGGCTCAGCTAGCTGGAAGTGGGTGTGCGTGCTGACCGGCTGTCTTGCTTTTGGCCATGTAGTGTGGTCACAGGCACAACCACTGCATGGAGGAGGAGAGGTTTGTACAGTCCTGTACCCAACAGGCTTACACAAAAGCATTGATTTCGTAGTTTTCCTGGGTGGTTCATGGAGGCACCCTGGGGTTGGAAGTCTGAGAAGAGAGTCTGAAAACTCTGGGTTTAAATTCTGACTCTTAAACTATGTCCCAGTACCTCAGTTACCCATCGAAATGCAAAGATCCCAAAACACTCATACCTGCTACATACTAGACAGAAGTTAGTGTTACAATAGTGAAACCTTGAGTGAATTTATTTTCTTAATGATTTAGATAATATTCACATACAATTACCTTATTTTGACTTCCAAGAAACATGTTTTCCTTTCTAATTTTTATTAGAGTATTTCAAATTGTGAACTACTTTTCTTAGGATTCTGATCATGTGTACATGCCTATGTATACACATATTATTATGTAGAGATACAAGTGTTTGCATGCATAGGTGCTCTTATGTGTGTGCCTGTGTGCAAGAGTATGTGCATGTGTGTATGTTATACATGAGTGTAATTGTATATGTGTGCACAACATTTGTATTTTTGTAAATGCCTGAATAGGCATGTGTGTACGTTTGTGTGTATATGATGTGTATGTCTACAGATGCATATATTTGTGCATGTATGAATGTATGTGCTATGTGTGCATATTTGTGCTTTCTGGGGACCTTTTAAGTATAATACATGTTAATTCTTTTTTCTTCACATAATGATGTTCTGTATATCCTTTACATAAATCAGATCCTGTTCTTTTCCTTTTTAAAATGCTTTCAATATTCCTCCATATCAGGTAGAATAAAATTATAATGCTTTAAAAAGGCTTTTCACTTCCTCCATAAAGCCCTGCCAAATGCATCTTTCCTATCCTGGGTCTTTACTGCCTCGAAGACTTCTTCGTCTATTGCTCCCATTCCCTGGAACCCTCCATTCCCATATTGTCACATTTTTAATCGTCATTGTGTCGCTGCATGCAATTATATCACCTCCTCCTCCCTTGACTGCAGCGTTAGGCACCAGTCACTCTTTATTTTCTTCATAGCATGCATTTTCATCTGAGGCAGCATCCATTTGCACATCTATTCCATGCCTCTCCCCAGGTCGGAGAGGCAGCCTCTTGCAATTGGGCCCGCAGTCTGCACACATCACATTGACTTGAGCACTGCAGCGCAGCATGGGCTGTTGTCCTCTGTACTTTCCAGTTTGTGAATTTAAAAAAGTGTATACACAGTAAAGACACAAGAAATGATCAAGGGCCAGCAAGACAGCTCAGCCATCTAAAGTGCCTGCTTAGGCGAGCGTAGGCAACCGCAGGGACCACGCTTCTATCCCCTGCACCACAAGCTGCACTAGCTCTGCCGCAGGGTAGCTGGACCAAGCACAAACAAGTGACCAAAATATATGGTGAAGTTTAACATTTTAGAATTTGTTGTGATAAATTGCCACCTCTGCATAGCTACTACAAAGACAACAATATACAATGTGTTAATTATTTCAACTCTCCTACTAACATGTTTTGAAACTGTCTCATTGCTCTTTCTTTCTCAACAAAATTGATTACAAAAATAAAAAATAAAAATTGCCACTGAGCATGGTAGCTACCCTGTAACCCCAGCAACTAGGGATGCTGAGGCAGGAGGCACTCCTGGCATTCAAATTCCTGGCCTACACAGTGAGTTCAGGGAAGCCTAAAGTGCATAGTGAGACCCTGGCTGAACCCCCACCTCAAAAAAAGAAAAGAAAGAAAAGAAACAAAGAAGAGAAGGCACTTGCCATTAGGCCATCTCAAAACACTCCCTTCACTTAGAACACACTGATCCCATCACTGTTGCCACTTCCTGAAACGTACCTGAAAATTCTCTTTCTGAGTGTCTTTATGAAGTGTGGTCAAATATTCAGTGAATGCTGAGTGGCATGCAATGCAAAGATAAGCGTGTAAAAACATTGTGATGTGTTCTCATCCACCTTATGCACCGGATCGGATGCCAAAGCTGATTTCTGCCTCTGCCCCAAATTCTGTATGACCATGAAAGGCAAATGTTTTGAATTGATTTGAGACATTGAGGCAGCCACAACTGTACATTTAGATGTTCATTAAAGAGGCTTTCCAGAATTGCTTCAGAAAGTGGCAAGCACAATGGGATAAGTGTGTTTAAAGGGAGGAGGAGTATCCTCAGGGATTCATGGCAATGTGTTTTTTATTGTAATACCCTTTAAAATTTAAATATTCACTGTAGTTTCCAATTATACCTTATGCATAACACTGTGAGAAATTGTTTCCCAGAGTTAAACTCAAATATATCATTATGTTATTAGAAACCACATTAATTAGTTCACTTTTCTTATTGACTTTATGAACTAAAAAATTTAAATAACTGATTACTACTATGCCTCATTTAATGCTTAAAGAGATAAAGTCTTGAAATATAAATAAGCAATATAACAAAATACAAAAATTCCAATACTTACATTCCTGTTATTTTTTAAATTTTCAAATCTGGAAATAGAATTGAGAATTTTTTTCCCTCAGGTCCTGGCATTCAAATTCCATATACCTTTTAGGCAAAAATCAAAAAGGGTAATCTGGAAGAGAGTGGTTGTTCCTTTGGGGTTAATTATTTTAGTGCTTTCAAGATGAAAGTCTACATTTTTTATTTCTGTTTATTAGTCTGAGTGCCACACTTCAGACATCTGCAGGCAAACAGAAAACTTGGATCAACATCTGGTTGCCCCCAAATATCTGTAACTTTGATGTTTAGATGGAACCTCTGAGATTTTTTGATACATTCTTTGCAGGGTCAGAGAATGTGGAGAATAGTGTGAAGGCACCCTCCTGTGGATGGACTCCCACATGTGGCATCCTCCGCAGATCAGAGGAGCGATTGTTAGTGCTGGGTGTGTGGAACACACAGGTAGATGCGATAAGAAAAGCAAAATTCCATTCAGATCAGAAGCAGACATATATATAAGGATAACAATAAAATTCTGAAGCATTTTCAGGGACTTATAGTTGATATGTGTTCCATTTGAGAACCCTGTATATAGATTTTAATGTTCTTATCATTTGTTGCCAAAACAATTCATCAAAACGTGTCATTGCAACCCCAACGTTATAAGTACCAGAAGGAGATAGTAGCTTGCATGTAATGGATTTTAACAAATTGGGAATTATCTTCATACAATTTTGTGATACAAACCTGCCAGTGAATCGCAAATGATCTCATTGACATGGGTCATTCAAAGTTGTTTTTGAAGTTCCGTGCATGTATGAGGTTGATATTAAGAGTGTTTACCTCCTGGAAAGTCGCATAGAATGAGTATATAAACAAATATCAAAATGTTTTGTGCACCTGACAGAGGCTAACAATATAGTATTAAATGCACCAAACAGAACATGTGCTAGTGCAAAGTTGACTCCTGGCGAAACAGCTCAAAGATGAAAATATTGTCTGAGTCTCAATAAGTTTCAGAGATGTATAAATTCTTACAGACCTCAATAATCATACTGAGCAATTGTCAACTCTTCTGTGTAATCTCACAGCATACTTACACTCTTTGTGAATATTAATGAATAGTGTCATCCACTTGTTGAAAATCTGCTTTTAATATTGCCATCTCTCAATATTTTAAAGCAGTCAAAGCCTTGGAAATCTGATCGAAGTGAGTCCTGAAGGAAACAGGAGTAGACAAGGGTGAGGATTATCTCTTATCTCTCTTCCTTCCACTCCTCATAAATTTGTGACACTCATAAGAGATCAGTTGAAAAGCTTCGGATTGGAATCTAACAGTCTGAGCCTCATTTCTCACCAGCTGGATGTCTTTGAGCAAAGCCTCTTGAAAACTGGGCTGCAGCTTTCCTAGTTACCAAATGAGGAGTGTAGTGTTTGTTCTGCCTTTGACACTGCATAGTTCCAAGGATCAAATGAAATAATGCTTACAGAATTCCTTTAAAGCTATGAATGAAAATTATTAGCAATGCAGAGTCACTATAGCTATAACAGAAGGTTTTTGGTAAATCATTATGTTGCTCTTGAATCACCTTAAAATATACAATCTTGCCCAACTTTTATGGTTTTAAGGGTAAGTGGGGAACTAAACCACAATGTACCAGTGAAAGCCAAAATATTTTACAGTATAGACTAATATCAATTTCTGTCAAAACAGTAAAATTCAAACACATATTTTTTAAATCAAAACAGCCAATTGATTTAATTTCGTTTCTTTGTTGAGAGTTTCAGAGACTAAAACTGCCAAACTGTGAGTCCAACACTAGGAAAAGGTCTTTAAGGGTAATCTTTCCTTAGCTTCTCTTTTTCATTTCATGTGAACCAATACTAAAAGTCTCACTAAATCACCACTTCAGTTGGTTGATGCTGAGCCCAGAGATAATCAAGAAAAGCCATGCAACCCTGGCTACCCTTTCCACCTAAAATGTTAGTACAACAAACACTATGATGGTAATGCCATTGTTATTTCTAAAAAGGTAGGTATTAAAATGTCTTATTGGAAAACTTCACTGTAAATTCTTTAGTAATGTCTCACTGTTTTGTAGGTACTTTTGAAAGATAGTCTTTAACATAGAAGCTTCATAAAACTGAAAAAATAAGTGGCTTATAAATAGTACTGTCAATAAATTTTTCAAGAAGATGTCTTTAAATATGAGTGCCTCTTCATCTTCTTATAGATTTATCCTAGTCTCCATTTATGTAAGTGATAAATACCCATGAAGTACTTGAAGCCTGTTGTGATGGCATATGCCCGTAGTCTTGGCGTTTAGGAGACTGAAGCACGAGGGCGGCTGCAGGTTCCAGGCCAGCCTGGCTTACATAGTGGGCTTGGGGCCAGGCAGAACTGCATGGAGAGAACCTTTCTCAAGCAAACAAACAAACATTAAATAACAGGTGTGGGGTGTGCGTGTCTGTCATCCCAGACTGAGAGGCTGAGGCAGGAAGATATTATGAATTCCACCCCAGCATGGGCTACATAATGAGTTCAAGGTCAACCTGGATTACAAGGCAAAAATTCACATCAAAAAGCCAAAAAAGAAAAAATAAAATACATAAAATACAAAGTAGCTCTAAAAAGCTTTTAACCAAACATGGTACTGATATACCTATTTTGCCTATAATCCCAAATTCTTTTCCCAGAAGCAACCAATTCTGATTGCTATTTTATATATTTGCACTGCAATAAAACACATATATTTCTGTCAATTAGTAAAAGGATGATGGAGGATTTTCCAGACCATCATATAGCCCCTTTGGCTTCCTAGAGAGGCTATGTAACAATTTCCATTAAATCTGTATTCACTGTTCAGTTTTGGCAAAAAAAAAAAAAAATTCAATCAAGTGATTTCTGATATAATCGAAGAATCCTTCAATCAATTAGGTCCACAGTTGTTTTCTCAGAATGGAGAAGACATTTTTCTTTGTTGATTTATTTACTTTTCTTAAGCAGAAAGGCTTGTACAGTAAGGGGGCTGGTACTGTACAGGGGCTGATACAGTAGAGGGGCTGGTCCAGTAGAGGGAAGGTAGGCTGGGGCTCACTGATGTGAGCTTAGGCCCAGCTTCCCTTCCCTGTTTATGTGGTCTCTGACTAATATCTTTTTGGGCTTTGGTTTTTCCTCAGAGTGAAGGAAGGGAGTGAGGTGATTTCTAGACACTTCCAGGACTAATTCCAAAGTTGCAATGAGATTGTTGGTATTATGAGAAAGCCCAAACATTCTGGACCTGGTTTGCCTACCTTTAAACTCCAGCCTTGCCACTACCAGCAGAGCTGGGAAAATCAATTATTCTTTCTGTATTAGTTTTCTCTAGGTAACTAGGGTGATAATACTTCCTGTGTCATAGGATTGGTGTGATGATTATACTAAATCATGTAAATTACTTTAGAAAAATCCTGGCACATCAAAAGCCAAAAACGTTCTAATAACATGTGTTATTATTCATTTTTTCTATCCAGTTACTGTTTGGTCCCAATATAAATATTTATATTCAGCTCTGAAAAACATCAACTCTCTAAGATGGTGACTATTAAGTAAATATCTTATAATAAAATATTTCTCAGTTTTGACAAATATTTGCAACTGTTTGATTTAACTCTACCACTGATGTGGCTATTTCTTCCATTTTTTTTAAAGGGGCCAAAGTCTTGACTGTCTGATCAAAGTAGTTCCTGAAATGAACCAAGGGTAAGTCTTATGAAACACTTCAGCTGTTGCTTTTGAATTCAACTTTAAAAATTGAAATTTAAAATGTGACAAAAAGCATTGCCCCAGCATAGTGACAACCAATGACTAGACCTACAATCAGGAGCCCCTTGGCCACCAGCCCATGCACTGGTGTTGAAGCCCTTGCTCAGCACTCTGTGATGTGTGGGCTTTTGTGCGAGAGAGAATTCTTTGAATTAGATGGATGATTCTTTGTCAGAATGGGGTTTGTGTTCCCTGACTGAGACATCCTTCTCTGAGAATTCCCTGTGAGATAAAATATCACCAAAATAATTTCCTAAAGCTAAGCTGCTCAAAGAAAAGTCTTCAGATGGTCAACATTTTGCTCCATCATTTATTTCCTCTCTTATAATTGTGTATCACCTCAGCAGTCCTAAACTTGAGATTTTTTAAAAATTAATTTTGTTCATTAAAAATATAAAAGCTACAAAGAATGACAGTTGCATTTTATAGTGAATTTTCTGTAAGGCACATCATGTTAATTAGAAAAGTTGGCATAAAACGATGACATTATAAGCATATATTGTGATGCTGGTTTGAATATAAGTTAAATACATAAATACCAAGATACATATCTTCTTCCTGACAGGTTTCCTGTCTTACTTTGTGTATAGGAATACTCTTTGTTTTTATAGTTTAGCTAACAAACATTGTTTATTTATTTTCTTTTTTTTCATAATTTTATTGAGAAACAAATAGCAATAAGACAGTTTCAAAACCAATTAATAGGACAGTTTCAATAATTAATTGCATATTGTTGTCTTCTTAGTGGTTATTCACAGCACAAGATGTAGACATGATTTCCTGTCCACAAACACTATTAGTACAAATCTTTCTATTCATTGAATTAAGAGAAAGTAGCTGTGTATCTGTCCTAACTATTTTGAATATACAGACACAAAATGGTCCTTCATTTGTATACCCATTTTTTTTTTTTTAGTTTTGGCAGATATGGGCATTCCATTGTCATTTAAATATTGTATGTGCATGAATTCAGCAAAAATATTCCAATATAGTCCAGTAGTTCATAATAGTACTGGGTTATCTGTAGGACTGGCGATGCCAGAAGTTGTTGACTTGAGCCTTTTATAGCACAGCCTATTAATATGGCTTTACTTTGTTTTTATACTTTTCGCTGGATGGTTAAGACCAAGATAAAGCAAGACCTGTATAACAAGAAATGTAACTTTTGTATCTGACAAGGTCAGTCAAGTCCCGTCAGGATTTACCCTGAAATCCTGTACAGCAGTTTGTAGATCCTTTGTCAGTGTCCGCCATGTGGATGAGTCACAGCCATTGCTTGATCAATTTGCTCTCTGTGAAAGCTTGAGAGAATGCTTTCCCTTGATGTCACTCTCCTTAGGTACACTCTACATCACCAGTCACTTTCCTCTGTGGCCCCATAATCTCCTTGATCAGAAAATTTGCGACCCAACTGAGTTACATGATGCTACACTATAAGTTCTCCTATGTCCTGAGTTCTCACTGACCTTGAAAGGCTAGGGCCAAAATGTTGGGTGTCCTTGCTGCTCTTCTTTTTCTCTAATTTTTGGTCTGCAAACTTAAGTTGTTAACCCTCCAGAAGAGAAGCTTAATGATATTAGTACCCTATAACATAGGCAGTTGAGCTTAAGCTCACTTTCTGTCTGAATATCAAACATCTTAGACATAATATGGAACAGGTAATTTTAGTCAAGTATTGATACAAACATTGTTCATTTTGACAAGATCTAAGGTCAGTAATATTTTTCTTAAAGGGCTAGGTAATAAATATCTCAGGGCTAGGGTGTCAAAATAGGTTCTCTATTTCTAATGTATAAATTCTGCCTATAAAATATAGTGGAAGCAGCCATAAACATACCATGTAAATGAATGGGCATGGTTATGTTCCAATAAATATTTGTTGAACAAGGCTGCAGGCTGAATTTTGTTTCAGGGCCATTCTTTGCAAACCCCTAGACTAGATAGCATTGTATTTGGAATGAAGAAAAGGAGGAACTCTGAACTTGAGGACAGCCAGCTCTCTTGCCTCCATCTCACCTACATGTATAGCATTTCATTCATTGTATGATTAAACTGAAGATTTCAGGACTCTGGTACTTGAATATTTAGTGCTAAATTGTCCTTAGATTCATTCAAATAGAAATAAAACTCTATTGCCATGCACTGGATTCAGAGGCCAAGGAATACTTTACATCCCAGATTCGGTTGTCTTTGTTTCTCTCCCAGACAGACTTAGTTTCTGGAGTTGAATGTGACCTGAATTTACAACCTTTTCTAACAACCTCATGCTGCTATTTATTGCATTTATTTTTGTGTTTCTCTTTGCACTTGACAGTGAGATATTTTGAGTTCAGAGTGCATTTATCAGCTGTGTAGTCTTGAATAAACTGCTGAATCTTTAAGCCAAGCTTTCTTATCTGTGAAATTGAGTTAACTCTATTCTGAGTCACTAGAAATATTAAATGTAATCACACTTGTAAAAACAATTATTTGGTATACATTATCTACCAGTATTATTATTATAGTTAGTATTCTTCTTCATCATTGAATCAATATAGCACTCTTTGATACTTTAAAGAAGGTGTAAACAATCTTTATGAAATTACTACTCCTTAATTAAATTATATTTATATAATTTAATATCATAGGGTATAATAATGAGAAGGTATGCACATAATAAAATGAGTTTATAGGTTCTTTCCAAAGAACAGCTAAATGCCTTTCTAGTCTTTTTTTTTCCTCTTTAGGATATACAATGAGTTGTCCAATAATAAAGAATATCAAGTTAGATTTATTATTCAGGCATTTTTTTATGTGTTTAGTACAGGGTATACAGGGTCTCACTACATTGATCGGACTCCTGGTGATCCTCCTGTTTTCAGCCTCCTAAGAGCTGGGATTATAGGCGTGCACCACCACGCCCAGTCGCAATCACTGTCTCAGCAGGCTCCAGGGGGCAGGGCCAGCATGGAAGGCCCAGGGAACCATACCTGGCTGCTACACTGTGCCTAAGCAGGCTCTTTAGTCCGCTGTGCTATCTTGCCAGCCCTTGTTCAGGTCTTTTTGTGTTAGGCTGTTATGAGCACCCAGTGTGATTAAAAATAAATGCCTCTTTAGAGTTATGATCATCTATTTCAGTATTTAGAATAAAAACAAAAAATTTATGACTTGAACTCTTGCTTATGATTGTTTTTGTGTAATTTTGAAATTATTTAATATTTTGAGGCATGATTTTGAAGTGATTCAATATTGTGAAGTAGAAATAATATCATATCTTCAGATTATATCGATTACCTGCAAAATTTAGAATCAGGAAATAATTCTTTTTTTTCCCTGTTTTTTTTAATTATTTTTTTTTGACAACTCATACAGAATTTTACTTAACAAAGTAATATGAATTTCACAGTATTTGCTGTAAAACATGGTATTGTCTTACAACCAGCTATTCATATTACCAGATATTGGAAGAAGAAAAAACTGGAGCAATGTATAAGAAATTAAGAAAAGAAAAAGTACAAACAATTGAAAAAAAGGAGACGAATCTAATTAGAGCATTGACTGCTTCTTTCTATTTCCATTTTTTAAAAGATTTTATTTATTTATTTTTTGTCCTGTCAGAGGTGAATATTCTATTGGCATCTATATACTATAAGTGTTTGAATTCAACTAAACATCTAATACTGTCTAGCCGTCTATAATAGTAGTGGGTTATCCTCAGAAGTTATTGACTTGAGCCTTTTACAGCTCATCGTATTAATATAGATTTACTTTATATACCTCATTTTTATGGTTTTCTACTGGATGGTTAAGACCAAGATATAGCAAGACCTATATACTATGAAATGTAACTTTTGTATCTGATAAGGTCAACCAAGTACTCTCAGAATTTATCCTGTAGCCCTGTAGCACCTTTTGTACATTCTTTTGTCAGTGTCTGACCTGAGCATGAGTCACGGCCATTGCTTGACCAATTTGCTCTCTGTGAAAGCTTGAGAAAATGTTTTTTTCTCTCCATGTGATTCTCCCCAGGCTCACTTTAAATCCTCGAACACATTTCCCTGTGACTTCATAATCTTCTTGATCAGAAAGTTTGGAGCACAACTGAGTTATATGTTGTTACAGTACAGGTTCTCCTATGTCCCGAGTCTTCACTGACCTTGAAAGGTTAGGGCCAAAATGTTGGCTAATCATGCAGCCCTTCTTTTTCTTCAATTTTGATCTGCTAACTTTGGTTGTTAACCCTCCAGAAGAGAAGCTAATTATTAACCTGTAATATATGCAGTATGGTTTATCCTATCTGTAGAAATATCAAACATTTCGGCATATCCTGGAACAGGTATTTTCCATCAGATATTGATATGTTGAACTTTAAGTCCTTACAGAATATGAAGGAAAAATAATTATATAAAAGTAGAAATAAGCATTTACATATTTTTACAAATAAATTTAGAAACCTAGTCATATACAGACTTGTAAGTCCTTATATTAGGGAGATAATACTATATTTACTGATGTGGGTCTGGTTTATTTCACTAATAAGTATATCTTCAAGGGGCATCCACTTAAATATGAAGGCTTCAAGTTTATCATTCTTTATAGCTGAGTAGTACTCCATTATGTAAAAGTACCACATCTTTTTCAACCATTCCACATGTAATAATTCTTTTTAAAACATCTCTGTTTTTAAAAATTTTGTTTGTTTTCAAAAGGGAAAGCAAAGAATACATGAAAATGATAGATAATATATTTTTGTCTTTCTTACTATAACCTCCAAAAATACTCTATTTAATTCTACTACACAAATATAACATGGAAAATAAGTAATTCATAAGTAATTGTGCTATGAGACTGACTTGATAGAAACATGTATACAAATAAAATTATCACATATACAAATTGTTGCTGGGATGAATTGATAATAGGTACCTGTTTTTACATGAGGCCAAAAGAGAATTCAAATGGTGTTTGAGTTTTAAATTTGCAATAATCATTTGATTCAATATAAAGGAAGCAAAGCACAAAATGATTGATTTGAGTTGACTTTGTCAGCTATTGAAACTTAACAACCTTTATTTTTAGGAACCGAGAGCCAGATAATCTTATCAAAATGAACCCTTCCACAGACGAAAGGTGAGCTTGTTAAGATTATTGAAGATTCCTGAGTAATGCTTCAATGTACATGAAAAAAGTGACACTATGCAAACAAGGACATTACAAGAGAAGATATGAAAACAATGGACACATGTTGATTTATTGATATATAACAATGCTAGACAGAACTCTCTTTATTATTGCTTCCATTTATTTCATTGTAACATTGTTAAAAATGACAATCCCGAAGCAATTCTGTATAATTACTACTTAAATTCCTTTTGATGTAATAATAGCTTAAATAGATCTTAAGAGTAAATTTATAGCTAATGAATTCTAAGTTCATAAAACTAAATGAGCCTAAGAAAGTTGGTTTTCTACTCTCTCATAAATTCAAGGATTCTCGATTGATTTTTGTGCAAAAACAGGTGACATAACATTTTTGTATTTCACTTGACTATTTTTGCATGACATTGAATTTATTTCTGTTCTTTTTCATTTTAAAGAGAATAGAAAATAATAGAGAAAACATTAGAAAAAATCCAAATTTTATTTAAAAAAGAAAATCAAAGGTATTCAACAGTGGTTGTTACATTGAACATTGCTGGTTTCAATGTAGTTGCTCAGATTATAGATATAAACATAAAATTGGTCAAAGTAAAAATTTAAAACATTAATTGTCACCTTCAGAAAAGTGATAGAAATTAGTAGCACAGTCATCTTAGCTGTCCTGTATGTACATTTTCCCTTCCTCCCTTCCCCCATCTTTTCTCCTTTCCTTCATCCCAATTTTTTCCTATTTTTTTCTTTCATTATCGCTATTGTACCTTTCCGATTGTATTTGCTCTTTCAGATTCTTTACTTCTGTTCTTGGGAGATTAACCCCTGTAATAGATTGGAGCAACATTTTTGAAAGCATAGCAGAGAAACTCTAAAATAATTTTCATAAAATTATTGTGAAGAGAATGTTGGCAAATACATTCTGCAAGTGGAAAGAATTACTGTGAATGCCGAGAGAGAGGCAAGGAGTACAGACTCAGTGTCAACTTGTCAGGTTTCAGTTTGGATTCACTCTCAACTGCTGTTTGAGTATCTGGCCCCAAGAAGTCTGTCCTTTCAAAGGTTGTCCAGCCCAACTTCTGCTTTTGCTTTCCTTTTCTCTTTTCATTTAATTTTTTTTCTTTTCTTTATTTATTTCTTTTTTTTTCTATCCTTCTTTCTTTCAGGAAAGAGTCTCACTTTGCAGTTTAGGTTGGTGTTGAACTCACTATGTTGCCCAGTCTGGCCTTAAACTTACTGTGATCTTCCTGCCTCAGCTTCCTGAGCTCTGGGGTTATAGGTGTTGCTACTACTCCTGGTGCTGAAGCCCAATTTCTTTAAAATGGATGCTAATGATCTACCTCAGTAAGTTATTTTTAGGATAAAAGATGATAATTTATATAAAATAGAAACTCAAGAAACTTATTATTTTTCATTCCAGATCCCTTTGAGTAATTTACAGCTATAAAAAAAGCAAATCAAGAAATTTGCTGATTTCCTAGGCTGTGACCTTTTATTTTCTTTTAGCAGTGAACAATGTCTTGATGAACAGAGTAATATAAACCTGAAAGCTGTCAAAAATACTGCTAGGTAAGAGAAACATGTTATTTATTTGATTGTTTTTACTCCATTACTAATCACAGTATGTTTATAAATGCTATGTAATCGTTCTGTGGGAAACTTGAATATAGGTCCTGAAACATCAGCATACATTTTACATGTCCCCAGAAACCTAGATATCAACTATGATACTGTTACTAGCAAGAAAGAGCAGCAGCTGGAAACAACATATGGTGGTGACCTCTCTTCTCTTAAAGAGAGTGATTGAAAAGAGAGACTGGTCAAGGAGGGGTGGTGGGAACAGAGTTGGCCCTTGAACTGTCTGTGTGTAGTTGTGTCTGTGTAGCTTTGATACTCATACTTTTGACTCTGGAATTAAAATTTATTAGTGATAGCTAATTTTAATGGACCTAGGCACTTCGTTAAACTCATTAGTAGTATCGCTCACCTCCTTTTGGAAGCGCGTTTTGAGAATGAAAGTTTTATGAAGTTCGTTGTTCCCTTTTTTTCCTGTTTATTTATTTAGCTTTATTGAGACAGGATCTCCCTGTGTAGCTCAGTCTGGCCTTAACTCCCTCGGTAGCCTAGGCTAGCTTGGAACTCTGCGCACTCTTCCTTCCTCAGCCTCTGGGGTGCTGGGGCTACAGGTGTGCACCACCATGCCTGGAGAGGTTCATTGCTTCTTAGAGGGTTTGCTGCTCACAGAAAGGATGTGGACCTAAAATTTGATAATGTTAAAGTTGATTTCGAAGGTAATGAAATTTTCTTTTTATCTTTGGTTTGTTTGAACAATTTTGAAAAACCGCTGCTGTAAAGGAAGCTAATCAAGAGGAAATGGGGACTCTGAAAGGTTAAGTGATTTGACCAGAGTCACAGAGATAATTAATGTAAGACGAATAGTAGTTCTGTGATCTTTTAGGCAGTGAATAATTACCAAGCACCTAGCAGGTTCATAGCTTACAACTAGGTATCATTAGTTGCACACTGGGTGTAATTATAGGCTGTGGATGCCAAAAAGAGAATTCAGTAGTCATACTCAATCTTATTAACAGCAGGCAATTAACATAGATTAAAGCTAATTATGTATCAGGGGCACAGAGATGTTACTCCAAGACAATAACAGGTTGTCAGTTTAATATATTACATTTTGGAGCACTCATGTACTGCCTGCTGAATATAAAATGTATTATCAGTGAGTTGCTTTTAAAAAGAAAAGGAGACATTAAAAGCAGATATAATAAACATGATGCACACTGAAATTCATATGGATTCCTGGAATAAATGTTGGAGATGGAATAATACCATGGAGATAATCCAGTCCACGTTCCTCATTTACAGAGGAGAATACTGAGGCCGGAGGACAGTGTTTTAGGTCCTCAGTCTTCTGAAGGGTTCTCTGACTTCTATCCTGATTTTGGTCCTCACACAGACAGACTCCAGTCTTCAAATAAACAAAAATTGATTGAACACCATAGGAAAGAGTGAAGGATATGAAGTAGGACAGATACTTCTATTGTGGGACAGCCAGCTTGTGTCCTTACTGCTGTCAGAGGTTTATTTGAAGTATCACCTCATTAGTAACAAGGGAACAAGTGTGGAAATGACTGAGAAACACTCTTGAACATCCCTTCCTACAGCCTTAAAGCAAAATTCATGCAAGCAAGATCTTGAGTAGGAAGGATAGTGGAATCTAGATATTAGATTCCTTTATTTTCAGGATTCATATACTGAAAAGATGTCACGTATTTGTTGTTTTCAACACATTGAGATAAATTACATATGCTATCAAGCAAAGAAACTCAGTATTATTCCTTTGATCTGTTTTATAAATACATGGTGTTGCCTTTTTAGAAGTAGTGGTATAACATTATATATATATATATATATATATATATATATATATATATGTATGTTTTTTAAGCAAATGTCTCTCAAGTTGTGGGTCATCACCCACTAGGTAGATTTATAATTAATTTAATGAGTAACAACCAGCACTTTCCCTCATCCAATAGAATAAATCAAATAGAACATATGAGAGCACTTTTCATGTAGTAAGGGATTTTTAATCACGTGATTTGTGCTTATGCGTGTGTGTGTGTGTGTGTGTGCGTGTGTCTGTCTGTCTGTAAAAGAGATTGTTGAGCATATAAAATATGTTTCTGGTTGGCCTTTTAAGCACCAATCTAAATATTAGTATCCTAAATTGTTGGATACATCCAATATTTATGTTCAGTAGAACAAGTACAAGTGGAAGTGTCCATGTTTGTTTTTGCATTTCCTATACTGTTTATTCTTAATTACACTGGTGCATAAATGTAAGCAGTTATATTAAAATACACTGCAATTAATTTTTAGTATTGAAAAGTTGTAGCTCTTGGAAATATTGTCTCCTCTACAAAGATATATTACTTCTTATTCTTACAATATATTAAATTAAAATAATTTAGACACGTGTCTTTTTAGTATTGTTTAGTTTTGACAGATTTTCTTTAATCTTTGTTTTTTCACTTAATCATCACAGCACCTGTTTTATAATAACATTTTTAATTAGTTTAAATAATGAAATTATGTTTTGGATAATTCTCATTTGTCAGTCTTTTATTAGTTTTTATAGATACTAATAGATTATCTTATATTATTACAGAGGATAATTTAAAACCATGGGAGTTCAGTTAGGATATTCCATGCACCTTGGAGGCCAAAGAACAGGAAAAGACACCTGAAAGAAAGATGTTAGAAGCTGGGAAGCACATTCCAAGCAAAACTGAGGATTCAGGGATGGAATGCAGACTTTTTTTAGGTCTTCTAACAACTCATCTTCAAGTGGCTTCCCATCAGTTTGCAACTTTGCATCTATCTTTCTGAAAATTGAGATGCATTTTACTCACAAGGAAAAAGGATGGCCTGAGGATGGGGTATAGGTCAGTTGCTGTTGCTGATGGTACTGAAAGCAGGGATTATCAGTTCTGCTACCTCCTACTATAACACTAGTTGTGTATTTCTCTGAGTATATGTTAGAAAAGAGCGTCGATAGACACTTTGAAATTCTCTTAAATGAGTCTCACTGAGGTGTGAGTGATCGTCAGATGGGGGATATACCGTTCTGTGGCTGAGAAAAGAAACTGGCACTTCTTCAGTTGGTCACTGGACAGTTTTCAGGTTCATATGTAATTTCACTACGAACAACTGATCTGTCTGATAACAAGGACTTATCAAACATGAGCGTGGAAAGAAACCACGGAGCATTCACGGCTTCAAGCATTCTTTTCACTGAAAAATTAGACTTGAAATGTTTTTCAGGAAGGAGAGGTATAAAATGAATTATAGAAGGACAGGGCAGGTAACTTGTTACTCTGCCTATTCTATTTTGATTTTGACCTAGCATCATAAGATTTGAGCAAAGGATTCTAATGGCAGAATCTGTATTTCAAAGGCTTTTATCAGAATGAGTGAAACTTTTAGTACTTTCATTATTTAGGTCAGACAGAAAAGAATGGTGTTAACTCTAACACAATAGAAGTTTCCACATTGGGCTGGGGAGATAGCTCAGTAGAAAAAGTGCTTGCCTGGCAAGTGCAAGGTCCTGAGTTCAATCTCTGGTACCACAAAACAAACAAACAAACAAACAAACAAAACTGAGTTCAATTCAGTTTATCAGCTATTATAGAGAAAAGTCAAATTTTTGGTGGATTGTTATACTCCTCTTTGCCAAATCTAATGTTAAGAGTAACTCCAGTTTTAGTATATTCTTTAAAAATAATTGGTATCTTTGGTTGGTGAATATGATTTTCAAAAATAAAGTATGTGAAGTCAGGCTAAGTTCTTTTTTTTCTCTAACATTATATTTCTTTCTCCCCAGGATTGGTTAGAAAACATATTTCATGGCTGTTCTACACCTAAACAATATATCTCTTACACAATCCTTTCCTTCATATAAAGTGAACATATGCCCTATTAACTCTAATTCAAGAATATTTTTCTCCCTTAAAGTGACCAATATTTTGATAAGCAAATCAAGGTGAATACAGAAATTCTCACCAACAATCAAAGGTATGCTGATTTTAATATTCTTTGGTTATAAAGAATGTTTTGTTTTAGTATTGTTTCAAGAAGATGTATAACCTTAATGATATTACTAAAAGAACTTTATCATGATGCTACTTTCTATTTTTCTAAGAAACGAAGATCTGGATAACCTCATCAAAGTGAATCCCTCAATAACCAGAAGCGATCAGAGGTAATCAAATAATACCAGTCAATTCACATATTTTCTGTCTATTGCCTCCAGATGAAATGAATTTATTGAGCTAACCTGAACTTTTTCTGCTCTCTTTTTTTAAACAGCTTAGACTTGGACAATCTTATTCAGTTGAAACCTTCCGCTCTCAGAAATGTTAATAGGTAAGTGACCTAGCCCAGTCAACTTGATATTCCCAAGGTTCTAGGGCAGGAATTTTTCTTCTTTTATTGTTGAAGGGGGACTCTGTTTTATCTTTTCTATGTCTTGAATAGGGACACATTTATGAACCATTTGTGTCTTCTTAACAAGAAAACATGGTATACATGTCTGGAATCAATCACATTATTTTCATTTTTTGTTTTTTGGGGGAAGGGTCTACAGGGTGTTCAGGGTCTCACTAGATCAGACTTGTAGTGATCTGCCTGTTTACAACCTTCCAGAGCTGGGATTACAGGCAAGCACTACCATGCCCAGTCTCAGTTGCTATCTCAGCACGCCCCAGAGGCGGGGCTGGCACGGCAGGCCCAGGGATGTATCCCCCAGCCCCTGTGCCTGCTTGAATCACATTATTTTCAAATCATTTCTGGGCTTATTTTTCTTATGACAACTTAAAATCTATTGCCTACAGGAAGTTACATTTTGAGTGTGAATTAAAATATAAATAAAATGAAATGAGATAAAAATATAGTTTTAAGACATTGGTATTTACACTCTTCAAAATCCCAAATCCACAGCTCACCCATGCTCACAAAATTTAACGGGAAAATTTAACCTTGCACTTCCCCCTTGAGTTCTGAGCTATCTTTAATTGCTATTTTTTCATGAGATTTTTACTCAAAGTACTTTATTAATAGATAATGCACCAGTGTGCACTATATCACAAGTCCAAATTGTTCTGTCAACTTGAAATTTTATCATAATAAATAATAGCTGGGAGTCACAGTTCAGCATCCAGATGAACAGAACAAATTATTTATGAGGGAGTACTTTCAACAGTTGAGGGGAAAGTGTAGCACACTGGCCTGGGTCTTAGCTTGTTTTCTGTGATGGTGCCTTGTTTTTATGCTTGTAAGTTTTTATAACTGGAGTGTTGGGGTCTCTACATCAGAAGGTACAAGGGCAGTTAGTTCATCAGTAGTTGCTACTTTGAGGGTAATTGTGGAGTTCTAGGGAAGATGGTATACATTTAATCCTGGAGAACGAGAACAACCCCTTGGGACATCTACTCATGTACCTTATTTGAAAAAGGAAAAACTATAGTGCAAGTATACAAACTGGCCCTCTCAGGAAAGAAAACTGAATATATTTAACCTTTATACTTCTGATGCCATTGACTAGAGGAAAAAGTACCAAAAATCTGTGGTTAAATGATCTCATACCTTCTCCCATGTCCCATGTGCCCTTCTTTGCTTTTCCTCACACCTAAGGAACTGTAATCAGATACAGTTATCGTAGAGAATTATTGTTAGAATGACAGGGAGAAGATTCTTTTTCTTGGAGGTACTGGGGGTCAAATGTAGGGCCTTGAACGTGCTAACCAAGACTTTGACTATTGAGCTACACCCTAGACTTGCACTGAGATTTTTTGATGGCAAATGCCAGCAGGCTTTTTGATGTAGATCCTACTGCTGATAATTGTATGGATAACAATTGAGTAGAACCATTTTTCCATACTGGTATTTGTTACAGTAGATTTTTCTTTATATCAGCAGCATTTTTAGGAAGCATATTGGGAATAATTAAATTTAGTACTCTGTCATTGTATTTAACGAACAGTCAAAAATATATTTTTCTTTTTCTCCTCCCTACTCAATATTTTTCTTCTCTCTAGCAAATGTGCTGTGTTGATAGTAATAGCTTTTCCACAAGAGCTTTTTTTATTACAAACTAATTTTATGGACAAAGTAGTTCAGCAATTCCTAATCATAGAATGGAGACACTTTCCTTATATCAATATGATTGCTAATGGAATTTTATTTTATTATTTTATTCAAAGAGAATAAAAATAATTTAAAAAAATTAAAAATGACACAGTATTTCAATAAACAAGGTGATGGGAATTCAACAATGGCTGCTATATTGCACAGTGTTGTCTTCAAAGTAGTTGCTCAAAAAGGAAATTTTAAAATATTGGCCATCACATTGTTTTAAGATGACAACTTGGGCTGCAAATCTAATCTACATGCAGTTACTCCTTAATGGCATATCAGATTTGATATAATCATACAGGCTGCATAAGAACTGTCACAGAGCAGAAAAAGATCAAACAAAAAACAAAAAACAAGCAAACTATTTGAAAAGAGTGCTTCATTTGGTTGATTCAGCCACTACAGTTTACACCGATTGGCCTCTTTATTTTAATGTGTGTAGAGAAAAAGATAGTTTCAAACACCTCCCAGTAGGAAGGACAGCTACAAGGCACCTTTACATCAATTCACTGAGCCACAAGCACTTATTACTCAATAGTACAACAGCAGTGAATCAGAGTTCTTTCATGTAGCTTTGCTGACATTTCCTGCAGCTAGGTATTTAACTCTCAGGCAGGGGCTGCATAAACTTCAATCATCCATCAGAATGCAAGCATGCCTCCCTGAACTCCTTCTAGGAACACAAGACCTGCAACAAATACAGATGTGCATGGAATTTTCATTTATTTAGGAAAAAATCACATGACTGTTAGAATGGTAACATGAACACATATTAAAGAAAGTTACCCAAATTGTCTATAGCCTATACAATGTTTTTGGATTAATTTTTAAAATTTCATTCCCAAATGGATATTGAAAACTGTGCCTCATGGCACTAAAGAAAATGTATCATTCACCTAAGGAAGAAAGAGTCCTATTTGTGGACTCATACTTCTGTCTTTTTAAGGGCTTTCTATTTGCTAACACATGTTTACAACATTTTAGTATTCTAACTAGGAAAAACTTCTTTGTGTCTTCCTACTACATATTTCTCGTATTTTGGTCCAAGACGTAAACTTTGGGATAACCTTGACTCTATTGATTCACCCCCCATACTCATCCAACCACTTTGGATGGTTGTCCAAATTATCTCATGAAGAAGTCTGAGACCCTCTGTCATCTTCAATGCCACTGTAATCTATTTGACTATTTAGCATCCCGAGTGGTTCTTCTGCTGTTAGTTTTGCCTTCTGTCCTTCAGTCTATTTACTATACTGTTTGGTGATCTTAATACAAAAATAGGATCGTGTCATTCTTCAGATTGAAATCCTTAATTGGCTTCTCATTGCTACTGGGTCATGGTCATACTTCTTAGCCTGGTTTCCAAAGGACACGGTGACCTGGCTTTTATGGGTTTTCCCATCTGCATTTCCCGATTACCCTCTACCTACATGCAAACTCCATTCACATTCCCTCCAACTTCCATATCCTTCAATCATTCTTTACTCTTGCATGGATAAATTCTACCTGTCCTTCAGGTATCAAGGTAGCTGTCTCTCATTCAGCTCTGGGAAGTCCCCCTGACCCACCATGTCTGAATCAGGTGCTTCCTCTAGATGTGTTCAGGCTCTCTTTCCTTCATGTCCTACAGCATTTGTCTCTTAAAAGCATTATCATTCAATCATTTCTCTCTTACTGTGGGATCTTTAGTGGTAAGTATAAGATTTGTCTTGTTGATGACTGAATGCATCACATATTAGGTGTTTAACAAATGTCATGTGAACTAAAGGCTAAATCTTAAATACATCAGGGGTTTATGACAGTTCACCTAGATCAAATTGTTGCCTGTGGTTCTAACATTCTGAGCAAGCTTCATCGTTGAAAGCAGATGGAATAAATCTCTTATGGTTGGTCTCCCCCCTTGAGCCACTGATTATCTTGCTCATGGCAATTTCAATGAACCATAGTAAATTAGAGCCGCTGATACTATCTGCTGCATCTTATACTTAATATGTTTATATTGTCCAATTCCTCCACGGATCTGTTAATTTATTTAATATAAAATCTTTAAGAAACCTTCACCGAAAAATATTATAACAATACATAAAAAAGGTGTAAAATTTGGCCCCTTTTTCTACGTCAGTAAACTGAGAAATTGTTTTGGTTATTTCACTTAGTCTATAATTCTTTTAGGGAGACAAATATTCTTTTTAAACTAAAGTCTAATCCTTAAGATTTATTTGCTAGCACAAAATAAATACAATAATAATAATTTTTATATGGTACCTTTTAATTTTGTGAGTTGAATATAGTGAAATATGTTGCCAGCTATTAATACAAACCTCTGAAGATTTCATGAGAGAGCAAGAGCAACTAGGGACAAGGTACTAACTTTATCTCATCATAGTTTCTCCTAACAACAACTTTACAGTAAGAACCACAATTTCTTGGTGCCCTCTGCTCCAATTTCCCCCAAATCTTCTCTGCAATGAAGGATTATACATCTTAAAGTGACATGGAAAATAAATGGTGCTATTACAGCATGAATGAGTTCTTATAGAAAAAAAGTGCTACAGCTTCACCCCATACATAGTTCATATTTCTCCCAAAGCATTTTGAAATCTATACTTTAAAAGTAGTAGTAGTAGTTGCAATAATTGATAACACTGTACTTTTTAGCAATTTGTTGTATAGACAGAGAATTAATGAATTCCTTGGTATTAATTGCAAGTGCCCATAAATGTACAAAACTGTAGGGTTTTCTTTTTACTACAACTTTCAGGGAAAGGGTTTGGAATAAAGCATTTGCTCAACCCTACAGCATTTGGCTTGGACTTCTATAAAAATCTATTTTCACACTTTGACTCACAGCTCTTCATCTTTAGCCACAGTGTAAAGATGCCATGCAATAGATGGTCTTAATTAAAGAACAGAAAGCTATTTTTATACCCTTTAACGCCCTTAAAATTTATGAGCAGTCTGAACTTCTTTTATTGGATCTTACAAACTAGCTGATGATACAAATCAGTGTAACTAAATGAAACAAATTCCCATTTTGTGATTTTTATAGCCTGGAACTTTGTAGTTTGCTTTAAATATTAGCATAGTGAAGTACTGTATCACTTATAATTTTTTCTGTTTTAATTTTAATTTATATTGTCTTTTTAAAATATTACTATAGATTATCCAGGTTGAAATCTTATGGTCCACTCAGTCAGCCTTAATATATGTTACTATTTAGTAAAATAATAATAATGTTATGAAGCCACTAATAAAGTAAGTTATTCTATAATCCATACCACTTTGGGAATATGCTCCTTTGAAGGCACGCATAGAGTATATCTTAGTTATCTGCTATAGTTGTTAGATTTGGAAGATTCCTGCTTCCTCTCCCTCACAAAGTATAAAACCTATCTTTTCCACCCTCACAAATAGCTTTGATCCAAAAAGAGCCTGAATGAGAGGTGTAGGAAGAACACAGATGTAGTGTCCATGGTAGTCATGTGTAGAAAGTGCCCCAGAAGTTGCAGACGTGACCATTGCTCAGAGAAGCTGAGTGTAATCACACTGTGAGGCTGTGGGCCAATCTGTATTTGTTTGTTAGAGTTGTCCTATTAAATTGCCATAGGCTGGGTGCTCAAGCCCTGAGATTCATTGTCTAACAGTTCTGAAGGATGGAGTCCTAGAGCAATCGGTCATGAAAGTTGGGTCCTTCTTAGGCTGTGAGGAAAGGACCTGTTCTGAGCCACTCTCTGACTTGACTTCACTTTGTCTCTTCACATAATATTTATGAAATGGCTACTCTGTGTAAGATCATGTTAGAGCCTCCCCTTAGTTGTAATGAAACCACCAGTTTCTTTGAAATTAGCACCTTGTTCCCCCAATGTTATTAGTAGAAAGAATAACTTCTGGGACAGAACTCTGACTCCCAAAATTCACATTATTTGGATATGGTTTACCATCTATCACTGTCAATGATCCCAGTTTGATGTTACTAGGATACTGGATTATGGAATGTGAAGATAACCCATTAAATTTTATTCTATTTTCCCTAAGTATCTTGGGAAGTATTGCTTAAAACATTAAGGGGATTGTGACTAGTGACTAAGATGATCCAGGTATTCATTAGCTCCTGATGCTAGATGGTGGCTCCAGTTATTAAGAAGACAGTTATAATTTTAGGGTTTGGGTGAGGCAAATCCAAAAACTTCTGCCTCAATTTCTAAATTTATATGATGTGATCTGTGAGATTAACCTTACATAATTTTAGCACTTAAGTTGAGGCATTAGGCTTTAATTTTATATCAATCAGATTGCAAAATCAAATGATTTTGATACTTCTGAGCTACTTCTGAAGTATCTCATATAAATATATATGATAGCTGGGATAATTGTATTGCTGATTTCTACTGGTCTATTAAAAAGAACAGTTAAATGTTTAAATTTTCTTTTCTTCTTTTTATTTTTTTTGCAATTTTGCATGCTTATATCTGGTAATCTGAACAACCAATTTGAAGATGACATTATGCAATACAACAACCATTGTTGAATTCCTACCATCTTCTTTAGTGAAATTCT